TCTAAATCTAAGGGATCAATGAGGAGTGAGGATCAGGCAACCAGTTCGTGATCAGAAGAATCAAATTAGGGTCAGAAATAAAGCATATGCATCAAAAAAGGAATTCAGGTGAGAAACACAGTAAATCTGTGTCTCATAAAGAAATACCAAAAAAATAAAATAAAATAATGAAAAGACCAAAAAAAAAATACCATTGGCCCTTCTTAGTAGAAGAAGGGATGATGGCATAATTTGTTAGCACAAACATGGGAATTCTAAAGAATCTGAGCCACCAGCAGAGAATGCCCAGGCACTCTGATTACTCTGTCTGCTTTTCTGACAGACTCTGATTGCAAGTTAGTCCTGTTTGCTCAAACCATTTGCTTCTACTCAAAGTTCGGTCTTCTCTAATTGCAGATCTAGAAAACACCCCAGAATACTTTTCTTGGTGCTACAAGGTCATTTTAGAGACCAAAAATCATTGTCATTATAAGAGAAGTCTACCGAAAGTTTGGCATTGAATTACTTGAGGCATACAGGGAGTTCACTCTTGTATTCTTATTTATTTCATGACTGTATTTATTTGTATTACAACTGTAAACCTATTTTTGCCCACCCCTGTATGTTATGCTAAATGACATGCTATTATTTTTTTAAATACATTTTTATTGATTTCAGAGAAGAAGGGAGAGGGAGAGAGAGATAGACACATCATTGAGAGAGAATCATTGATTGGCTGCCTCCTGCACACCCCCACACTGGGGATTGAGCCCACAACCTGGGCATGTGCTCTTGACTGGAACCGAACCCAGGACTCTACAGTCCACAGACTGACGCTCTATCTACTGAGCCAAATCGGCTAGGGCGTGATGAACTATTATTATTGAGAGTAGTAGGCCAGACTACAGTGTGAGTGCTAATCAGTCTAATCATTTTATTCAGCTATGAATTCCATTCAAATGAAAGATTTTTTTTAAAGGCCATAGATCATTCACATGTCAATATTCCAAGCTTAGACCTGGCAGCTGCAAGACATTTTTCAGAGGAAAGGCCCATAATCCAAGTGCCTATCTTTATGATCTCCATCAGCCCAATTAATTTGTGGTGGATTTCAAGCTGAAACAAAGGCCCCAGAATGAGTCTTGCTGTCCCAACCCAGCCAGAGGATTCTGCGAAGCCTCTCCCTCAGCCATTCCAGGGAAGAAGCACAATAGGATGGAGCTGAGCCCTCGGGGTCTTGGCAGCCAAAGGAAATGGAAGGGATGTGTGCCAGAGTCTGTATCAGTGTGGAAAATCGCATGGCAGCTACTACGGGGAAGCATCCTTGAGAATGGAGGGGAAGGCTGCGAAACATCTGATAAGTGCAAAAGGTAAACATTGTCCTGAGGATGAGGCTTACTATCTGAACCCACAGATTTCTGTGCTGCGGAAACTCCTCGGGGTTCTTGATTAGTCAGTCTCTTGATGGCATGTGGCTCTTTTTTTCCCCATAAGTCAGTATCATCAGGGGGCCTTCAAACTGGATGTCGGGAGGATCCTCTAACAACCAGGAAGCACCCACCCAAATGCCAGAGTGTCCCTCCCTGCCTCCCCAACAATTTTTTGTCCCATCAGATTAGATCCCTTACACATGACCAGGAGTTTAAATCGGGCCTGAGCTTGTTTCTACTGTCTCGCCAACAAATCGATGCTGTGTCACAAATCAATGCATAAGCAGAATAGACGGGAACCCAGATGGGATGTTTGGCAAGGATGCGGAGGAGAATAACCACAGCCCACCACCTATCAAAACCCCTGAGCCGATTTCTGATGTCTAAAGCGTCATCACGGCAAGTTTTGTTGTTGTTAGGTTAAAGTGGGAAAATCTACTGACATACAAAGAGCATGTGGACAGAGAATAAAGTCATTCTTAGTTATCAACCACTCACTAGTTTTCCTCTTCTAAATATTCCAAGGCAACCAGTGTCCTAAAGGCTTATACATCAGAAGGTCTAATATAAACCCCATGCACCCACCAAGTGGAAGGAAGCCAGGTGGGAAAGAGAAATTGGGGCAGGTCAGGGCACTGAGGATCTTGAGAGAAGAAGCACATCCAGAAAACTAAAAGGGGAAATAAGCAATTGCCCGGCATATTTTACCTATTTCACAATTATGTAAATTATCCCACACAGGGAAAGGTTTATGACCAATACTTCTGGAGAAACAAAAGTCAGAGATTCCCCTCCCCCAAGCACGTCCAGGAAGTGACTGAATGAAGTCCAGGAGAAGTCCCCGCAGTCTCTGGGAATGATAAAATGCAGTCGCTTTAGGCCAGTGTCAGAGGGATGCTGGGTGACCAGAAGCCCAAGTGTTGGAGAAAGAGTTTCTATTGGGAATCTGGGTTGGGTCAGACCAACTCCCCAGTTTCATTGAAGAGCCTGTGATGAAGAATGTGTGATGTATTGTAGAAGAGGCTCAGAGTGAGAAAAAAGATGGGGCATGACAAAACAAATCAGTAAGACAACTAACTGTCCATCTGAATTGGGCTACCTACCAAACGCCAAATGCAGTGCTAGTTCCTACTCTGAGTAAACTCACAGTCTGGCGGTGGACAAGTAGACCAATGAGAACAACATGGGAGCCCAGCCGGCGTTGCTCAGTGGTTGAACATCAACCTATGAACCAGGAGGTCCTGCTTCGATTCCTGGTCAGGGCACATGCCCGGGTTAGGGGCTTGATCCCCAGTGGGGGACATGCAGGAGGCAACTGATCAATGATTCTCATCATTGATGTTTCTCTCTCTCCCTCTCTCTTCCTCTGAAACCAATAAAAATATATTTTAAAAAAGAAAAGAGAGAACAACATGGGAGAAGTGTTTGAGAGGGAAGTACTCAGAATGCTAGATGAATTTAGAAGAGGGTCTCAATCCCATTCCTGGGGAAGGCTCCTCCTGTGCAGGTAACTTCTGGGCTGAGGCCCAAAAGATGAAGGATTAGGCAGATCCAGAGGAGAATGGGTTACACACAGAAGGAGCAGTAGAACAGTGTATCCATAGGCATAGGGGCAGAGGAGGGTATCAAGGGTGAGAGGTGAAGGGGTGAGAGGTCAGAGGCCAGGCTACAAAAGGTCTTCCATAAGTGGCCTGCTAAGGAATCCCATCAAGCATGTACCCATGTTTGCATCCACACACAC